ATTCATGGAAATTGTGAAGGAAGAAATAGACAATCCAGAAAAATATTGATTATATTCTTAGATCAAAATATTTTCAATTGGTAGTTATTTCTTCCGCTTAGTGGATAACCATTTGGTAATTGAAGATTAGTCAGTAATTTCAGTGAACGCTTTAAATCAATTTGATGATAATGCATCTGTTAGCAGTTTGACGTTGATGTGGAATTCATTGGTGATCGATAGTCACGCTATATATAGACATGCCTAGTTTTCCAGCCTCAATTCTTCTAATTATTGGAATATATGAATCACTCCATGCAGTGCAAAACCAGGTTTTTTCCATGATGAAAATCGTGCTAATCTTTTTGAGGTTGATCCTGAGTCTGGGATGCTTCTTAACACTGATAATGGCACTCCTATGCCTACGGTTAGTTGAATCTTCACGATCTTTTAGTAAATGGGAATCTCCTTCAAGTCTAATGACCAATGTCTTATTGTTGATTAACTAGGTAGATACTTCATTGAGGCTGCCCTTGAATATAGACAAGAGCTGCAGAGTTTTTCAGGTATCGCTGCATCCTACAATCTGTCTGAATTTGTACCATTATAATATTGCCCTTGTTTGAGCCCCATTTTTATCCAAAAAATGAATTTTTGAATAGTGTATTGATGGGAATGTGGGATTAAAAAATAAGGAAAAGTTTTGGATTTGTGTATAATACTATTTTATTGAAAAATGTGTGGTTGAAATGGGGTTAAAACACTATTCAAGAATTCTTTTTTTTTTTTTTCAAAAAATGGGGCTCAAACAAGGGTTGTTAATTTTGCAGTTAGTAGCCTTCCCTTGTCATTATGATACTGGTTTTCTCAAACTCTGTTTTCAGGGAGGAAATGTTGGCCATCTGCATAAACTATTGTCCATAGAGTCAAGTTCTCAGGTAATCTAGTCATCCTTTAGTTAGGATTTTTTTCTTTCCCATCCTCTTTAATTCTTTTATCTGCTATTAGGCTCTTCGAAAATAGATGTTGCCTGTTCCTGTGATTTGCCACATGCATATGTACAAGTGGTTTACTTGAAGCCCGGTTGTACAAAACTGAATGGAGACTATTTATGGTGGTACCTTTAAAATATTTGGGGCAAAGTTAAAGATAAATAATTTAGCTTTAGTAGATTTCTTAATGTATTCATGAATTCTGAGGATGTGGTTGAAATGACAAGAGTTCAACGATTTAAACCTTGATGTTCTTGGTGAATCTCCATCTTGCACAGGAAATACACACCCTGTCTCCAAAGAAACAAGGACATAAATTATTAAAATCAACTAATACTCCTTCAAATTGTTATTCTCATTCTTGCCATTTTTTGGACATCCTAAGATATACAATAGTATTGTGCTGTTTCTATTCTTTTCTCTCGAAGGGAAAATTTGTAAGATAGGACAGTCACAATCAAAGTACTATGCGTAACATGTCAATCAACAAAAGAATGACTTCAATAATAAGAGGGCTTTGTTTAGAAACATCTATATGTTACATCCTTCTTATTGAGTAAGGTTTGATTGATTCTTGCAAACCATTGACATTTACAATTAATTTCTTAGGTACTTTATGTTGGGGATCACATCTATGGGGATATTTTACGCAGTAAAAAAGTGTTAGGTATGCCTCGTATCTTTATTATGGAATACATCAATTTGTAATATATAACTGCATTGACGTTCTCAATGGTGGAAGTAGCAGTAAAACCTACTTGGCTGTTGGTGAAACTTATTATTAATCTAGAATTTACTTTTCATGAAAGATCTGTTGGTGGAAAGGAGTTGCTTGACAGTACTGTGTTCTATTTTTTTATCTAACACAGGGTTTTAGGGAAATCAATCTCAGTTGATGATCCTCACTTTTGTGCATATGCTTTTTACAGTCTTCTTGTTTACTGGAATTGATTCTTTGTGGTATTTATACCTAGCTGGAAACTGATAAATATTGTTCTCAAGAAATTATGGGATTGAGAAATTGCTCAGGGTGGCGTCCAATGTAGTTAATAGTGTAGTGCAATTCATTCCTTTCTCCATAATCCCTTGTAAATCTCAAATTTACATCTTTGGGCTCTTGTGCAAGGAGTCAACTAAGTTGGAAAGGGATTGTGGTTATATTTAGTATTATATGTATTCTTTTTATCTAGTTTGAGACTGGATAATATAAGTATTCTATCCTGTCAACGGATTATATCTTTTTCACCTAAGCATGTTTTGATTTTGTAACATGTGTTAATAGGTTGGAGAACAATGCTTGTAGTTCCGGAGCTTGAGAGGGAGGTTGCACTTCTCTGGGAGTTGAGAGATACCCGCAAGGTATATCTGTATAGATATAATTCTTGTTTTCGCAACTGTTTGAGCTCATTATAGAAGAGTTAACTTTGTTTATGTGTTGAACATTCTTCTTATTTCAGAAGATATTACTTGTCCTGCGGACAAAAATATTGAAACATTGATTCCTTAAAGTTTCAAGTGAAGTTATCAGACCTACTTTACTTGGTGTGACGAGTTCAGAAAGATACTCGATTGTTTTGCTTATTTCCTCAGTTTCATCAATATTCATCCTCCATTGTGTTTTACTCTGCATTATGACCCTTTATTCTGTTCTGGAAGTTCTGTTGTTGATTCTGAAACCATGTGTACTCTGCAGCAACTCCAGTTATTGAGGAATGAAAGAGATCACATAGAAGACAAGATACATCATCTCAAATGGTCTATCAGGTGGCTTATAATCCTTCACTTTGAAACTTTACTGCATAAATTTGTGGTCAATGGGCTGTTCATATGCTTTTTTCCCCCTTTGTCATTGTGGGTATAAAAACAGTTGTGGAATTTTGGATTCCCCATCAGAAGAAAGTAATTAAGTTAATAAATTACCATCTTCGATTTATGACTGATTTATGAATTGATTGAAGTTTTTGAGGTCATAAAGCAATCCTCTACCGCATTTGGAATACATTCCTGTGAAAATGTTTCTTATCACACAATGTGGGCTCAGGTTTGATGGCGTGAATGCTGATAATGAGGAAGATCTAATTGCCGAGGTTGATAGACTGAAGGTTGGTATATCTAGCGAACATGTAACTTTGAAATAACGTTTGTTTTGACAAAGACTCCTTTAGATGTCCCATTGAATTTTGTGAGGTACACTAGTCTATCTTTCTAACTTTAAATGTGTGAATAGAGGTGTAAATAACAACAAAATTACTGGAAGAATTTCGAGTTATGTTAAGGATATCACTCTGAAGATTTATCATGCTGTTTTTGTACTTCACATTTAGCTAGGGATCAAATGTTTCATGTTACATGAAATATTTTCTCATTTGTACATTTTATTTGTGCCTTTTCTATTGGACTATGTGGAGCCTAATTGTATGTACACTTTTCCCCCGACTACACATTTATTAGGTCAACCTAATATTCCTGTCATATTCAGTGGGCGAAGCTGTTTTATGTAGAATAAACAGATAAGCGGGTGAAGAATCTTGTAAGTTTCTTCTTCATTATAGTGAAAAATCTGGAGTGGCAAGTGGACATAGCTTTAGCATCAAGGATTAAAAAATGTAGATTGATTTGTCTGCTTTGTGTGTTTCTGATTTTGTTTTGCTTATTATTTCTCTTGGAGTCAGGAAAAGGTTTGAGATCTTCCTAACATTGTCATCCTTTACAAGTAAGTAACCTTTGAGTGATAGTTGCGTGCATGACGCTTAGTCTTTCATATAGCTTAACAACTGAAACAAAAGTTTGAAGGCGTTTGTCATGGTTAGTCCTTTTAGCAGCTCAGGATTCTGAAATTACACTGTTTCTGAATCAAATATGTAATTTTTTCATATTTGTTTTACTAACACCTCAAAACTCACAGTCTCAGAGCGAGCAAGTGCGGCTCAATCATCAAGAAGCACAACGAGAATGTCACCAAATGGTAAGAGATGGCACGCAAGAATTCTTCATTTACCATAACCCATGGGACTAATGCACTAAAAGAAAATAATTAGCTTAAAATATTTAATCTAAGTTAATAATCTTAGTGCATGTTTGATTTTTCTTTTTTAATAACTTCTAATGCTAATCCGCCTTACCAAACATGCAAATAGGTTATGCAATATCTATTAATACTTCTTAAGTGCTAATGTCTCTTATCAAATATGTTCTAGTTCCACAAGGTCTGGGGACAATTGATGAAGACTGGCTATCAGAATTCACGCTTCGCACATCAGGTTGAATTGAACAACATTAGTAATGAAAATATTAATCAATTAACTCTTGAATTTCATTGAGTTTTATGTTAAATGGGTTTCGTTTGTATTTCGCAGGTCGAGAGATTTGCTTGCCTCTATACTAGCCAAGTTACAAATCTGAGCATGTACTCGCCCAACAAATACTATCGACCGCGCGAAGATTTCATGCCACATGAAATTGATATCCTTGCTTTATAGAACAACAGATTCTTCTATCAAACATTGTGATATATGACATTTTCAAGAAGCATAGTTTTTTTTATTGTTCATTTTCTGGAATTATGAAAGGATGTACAAGTTCTGAAACATGTTGGTGGTCACTGTAAAACACTGGAAATGTGAATATAAAATTTCTGCATTTTACTGGCAGTCCTGTGCTTTGTACTCAAATATGATTTTGGCAGTCTTGTGCTTTGTTAGAAGATCAAGTTTTCGAATTGAGCATAGGTTAGTGTGTAACGTCTAGTCGAGTCAAATTTTACTCGATGTTGTTAGGTTCTCAATATTTGCACATGAAAAAGGTCTCAATACACAATCTTTTCTTTCCCACGCGACATTAGGTTTTACAATTCACTGCCTTTAGGGGACAAATATCCTTGTTGGCACACTTTTTGAGACACTGATACTATGTAACAATTAGGCAAACTTTAGTCGATGTTGTCATGTTACATCACATTTTCAATAAAACATTATTTACGAGCATCACCCACGAAGTATAGTGGTATTGAGTTCAAACACAGTATCTTCGAAATATAACTCTTTACTTAGCCACATCTTGTAATGAACGCAACCATAATGCAAGTGTACCTTTTTTTACACAAGATCATCATAACAAGGGGTATTAGAGTTGAGAGTTTGTAGATAGCACTGTGTATGCAAGAGCTTGAAACCGCGCAAGAATGTAAACAGTAAATTGTCATAGAGAAAATTGTCTTTAATTCAGGATGCACAAATAATTGACGAGTTTGAACGAGCTAATCATGGCACAAAAGAACAATGTAAAATGGATATAGTGTTGAAAAATGATTATCGTACAAAATCATTTACAGATTGATGAGGTGACAAAATAAAAGTAAGAGAATTTCTTATTATTATTATTTGGTTGGTGAGATATTGACTCAATCAACCATTGCCACATCATTTGTTGGTAACCAAATATGTAAAATATGATGTTACATATAGTGCGACCGATATTATTTTCAACGGTTAACAATATGGGATACAATCAAAGTGCAAAGTTACCGTTGGATGCAATCACAAAAGAATGTGTAATAATAGCTTAAATTGTAAGAGTAAGCAAAGTGAAGAAAGCCCCACTCTGTCCACTGATTTCTACCCTCAATGCCTATATATATCCAGCAGCTAGCCATGCTCATGCATACGTTCACTCACACCAACATTTTCGAGACTCATAGTCCGTTTACTGTACCATCCAATCTTATCTAATACAGCATTCCAACCATGTCTTAGTCTATATCATGACGGGGTTGAATTCAACAAGCACAGCCGAGCAGAACAAGTTGTTTGAGAATTACACTGGTAGCGTATGACAAAGAGACCCTGGATAGGTGGGCCCGGAAGGGGAGGGGGGGGGGGAATTGGGGGGGGGGAGGCAAAGCAATATTACGAAAAGTTGTCATAGATATCAACCAAATAGAATCCGCTAAAGTCCCCTTGCCTACAAATCCCATAATGGAGACACCAGTAAAGGAACAAAGGTATCATAGAACAAACAATTCGTCTTCGTTTCGTCCTTAGTCTCTGTCCGGTCCATCATACCAGATGTTACCCAAAATTTGAATTTCCTTGTACTGACACACTTGTTCTTTTCTTTTCGGGCTGTGAAGAATCCAAAGTTCCAAAGGAGGTACAATGGGCATTCCCTAAGACAAATGCTCAAACAACATAATACTGGATTATGTACATTTTTTCCAACCATCAAGCCTTTCATTATTTTATGTATTTCGGGCTAGAAATGTGCAAGAGGGATTCAAAAGAACTCTTAACATAATTACAGTGATGCATCAGCAAGTGAGCCTCTTAAGCTGCAACGGAATGCAAGTCTTCTTTTACACTAGTGTGGTTGATTATCCCAAAACAAACAAATTCCCTTGGGCGTTCATGTAGATTATGACATGAACTTTTTATACTCTCTACATTCTTTCATCAACTACACTCTTGCCATCCAAAGAAAATGTCAAAAGGAAATTAAAATGTACTATATAAATTGATAAAACGGTATCGAGAATGCCCTAAAAAGTGTGCTAAAATTAAACAAAAGTGATTAAAATGGAGTAAAGAATGATCTAAGTCAAGGATAATACTTTGATTTTTTACATTTTAATATTTTTGCACCCCATTAAAGTGTGCTAAAGTTATAAGTCTCCATAAAAAAAGAGTACTCCAGCCATTAACTTTCCCATTCAGTGTTCTTTGTGCCAATTGCACGTAAATATTAGGGGGTCAGCCCACCCAAATTTAAAAGACCGTTCTAGAAATAGAAATGGGGGTCTCAACGTTTATCCTTCACAAGCCCAATTAAAATGTACTATCATGATAATGCTATAGCCTATAGCACTGGTCAACACGAGAAAAATAATTCAAAAGAATGTATTCAATGTATAAGGGGCTCGAAAGGAATACAATGTAGTGGTCTGCTTCATGGTAGAGAACACCATAAACAAGAACAGTACAGGGTCTAAAACAGGAGCAATTTATAGAACCTCCTTTATCAGTCTTTCTGTAAGAGCTTTTGGAAGTCCCATTACACTATCTGTCGTACCCACCTGCCCAAATTAAAATATATGACAAAATTCAGAATGATGTTTATCAAGGTCGGTTACGAGAGCTAAGAGATAAGATATAACATTCAGCATGAGAACTTGCCTTTTACAGTCTATTCTGCAAGATTTCAGGCAATCCATATATAAAGGAGCAATCAACTATATGTTCAACTAGTGATTAGAAACTTAGGGTCCGTTTGATTGCAAAGATGAAATTGAATTGAATTGAAAACGAATTCCAGGGAATTGAATTGCCTAAAAATTATTTTTCTGTGAATTGTAAATTAATTGTATTTGATTGGTATAATTTTCCACGTGGAAAATGTTAAAATAAAAGTGTCTTTTGAGGTTCGTTTAGCTTTGTTTTGTATAAAAATTGTCAATTAAAAGAATAGATTTTACTGGTACTAGGGATGAAATTTGTTTCCATTGCAAAAAAAAATAAAACATAAAAAAAAAAATTCAAGAAATCATCTATCTTTTGGTGTTTTACATGGAAATTGTCAATTAAAGGGAAATATATATATATATATATATATATATATATATATATATAATTTCAAAAAATTCATCTATCTTTTTGTGTTTGTTTGGCTTTGTTTTACATGAAAATTGTCAATTAAAGGAAAATATGTTTTTTGATTAATTTTTAAAATTTGTTTCCATTACCATAAAAAAAATCGAAAAAAATAAAATATAGCTATAGTGGCTGGAATTCGAATTCTCACCATGGTGAGAATTCGAATTCCATGAAAACATGGAAAATTGCTAGTTCCTGAGAAAAACAAGAAAGCAAATTCCTTGAAAAAAAAGCCTATCAAACACCCTAAAAGATGGAAAATGAAATTGATTTTCAATTTTCCATGGAAAACTTGATACAATCAAACAGGGCCTTAAGGATTTAGGTGCAGATTAGTGTTGTTGGTCAATTTATGCACTCTCCCAACGAAAATCATTCAAATGTTCAAATGATGACCTTGATGAGATACTTGAAAAGAACTCCTCTATATCAGGGTATTGTGCCTTTGTTGGCGATAATCTGGTCACTTGGAGATGTACGAACCGGAGGTCTTCCATAGGTCAAGGAGCCATTTATTCCTTTTGAAAGTAAAATGGGTGATATTGTCACCAAACTTTTTCAGGACAATCTAGTTAGAAAGCTGGGGGAATGGTGGATGTATTTGAGCCAGATTGTAAAACGCTGGAACACAACTAAATTGTATGTTTGGTCAACTATCAGCCAAATCAACTCATTACATTTTCGAGAATATTTATAGCTGTCAGGATTTGGCGAATTTCATATTTTTCTAAATTTTTGTTTCCTGCTTCGTAACCCTAGATTAGACCTATATACGCTGTAACTTTTTCCTCTCTTGATACAATGAAATTACCAATTTGTATCAAGAACTTGTAAACTGTCCGTTGATAAGCCAGTGCACCCTTAAAAGTCCCTTGACAACAGTTCACATAGGTAAAGACCATCTCTGCTGCCTGAACTTCATATCCATCTCTTTTCTGTCTCTGTAACCTTCTTGAAGCATGCACACATAGCTGCCCTAAGTGCGAGGCCTCTTAGCCAGGTAATATTAATGCTTCCATCCAGGATAAAGAATGTGGTCACGTATTTTGAAGAATTCTCGGAATTCATATATTATTTTGTCATTGTGTTGAATAAGCTTAAAGGGTCTCTCAGAAATAATCACACTGTACGGGGAATTCTCAGTTAATGTATTATTTTGCCCTTCTTTATCTTGCGTCATCCAGTCGTTTCTAGGAATTTAAATATTATTTTGTCATGGTTACTCCTTTTAGGGCTACTGAGGTAAGTACTAAATTGTAAATTTCAGGGCCCGTGAGTTTAGTTGAAGTGAGCGTAAACTGCACCCAGAACCCATGGTCATAAAAAAAAAAAAAAATTGTCATGGTTAGGGGTTTTGGACAGCATATGTAGTGAATTCATCAGTAAATATTCTCATTCTACCCTGTGAGTAGTCCTCTCTAATCTTGATACCTTTTACACTCTTCCCCCCTAATCATGACAATTTTTTGAGACAAGGCACTATAGGAGGAAGACAATTTCCAGTGGCATATTGGTATACTAAGTCATAACACAAGTTAAGCCTAACACAGATCAAACAGTGTCTTGGGGTTGGGATGCCAACCATAAAGGGGACTTTGCAAAGACAGTAGCATCATCAGATAAGGAAGAGCGTGAAACTAACCACTGCTTTGACGTATGGTAACACCAAAGGATGTTCAATTATCAGTGCTCCAGCTACATAGAGCACATTGCCCTCTTCAATCTGAACAAAGAAAATAAAAGCACACTATGATTTCTTTGTTCAAGTCAATAAGAACATAGCAATTAAATAATTGGAAGAAGAACTCGTTACCAAGTTATCTATGATGTGCTCAGGTATGTCATGGAATTGAATCTGCAAAAGTCAAAACATCTATTGTTACTTAATTCTATAAAATTATACTGCAGAAAGGTTCCTGAGACAATTCAATGGAAGAAAATAATTTAGAAGACAATGCATTCATTTTTGGAGAGTAAACCTTTCCTCCTCCGTGTGCTAATTAAACTGAGTACCACAAGTTAGATGGACATGAAATGCTTTCTCTACAGAATTTGATATGATGCTTTCTAGGAAACTGCTTTTAACACAAATATTGGTTTAAATTAAGCCAGGTATTACTGAATTTATTGCCCAACCAACTGGTGACAAGATAATGGACATGAAGAGATCACAGTAAGTGCACTGTTGGCTTTATGTTTGTGTATTAAAATATGACGTCAAGATTAGATGCTAAATATTCTCATCTTATAGTCATTATGAACAGAAGAACCAAGAAATGCGTTAGCAAGATTTTACAAACCATCAAAACACCAGAGTGGTTTGTACATCCAACAGGAAGAACCAGAACCCCAAATCAGGAGTATTATGTGGAAATTCCCTTCAAAACAGGACCCTCAGGGGTTGTTCATATGATTATAGCAGTATAATATAGCATTGTCTTTATACGGACAAGTAACTTTAAAATTGTGTCATGTCTATTATTTCCTAGATCACCCGTGTATTAGATCCAGAGAGTGATAACTGCATGCGGTACATGTATGTTTAACACATCTTGTATAATTTTGTCATGGTAATGTTGTAGCGAATACACATCCTATTACCATGCACTAAAGGAGACAATCATCCATCAAACTTAAATCCAAATTTAAATTTAAAAATAAATAAATAAATAAGAGGTTGCTCCAGATGGTGATCAGATATATTACTAGGCTAGTTATATGCCAATTCTGTGTTATCCACACACAGAAAAAACACCAAAAAATGAAATGTAAAATAAATAGTACCTCCACTTTGTCCCATTCTCCTCTTCTGAATCCTGTCTTGAGGTTCCTAACAACAACAGAACTCACGGTTGCTGCATGCCCACCAGAGTAACCTACAATATGCATAGGTAAGACCACTAGCAGATAATGATATTATTACACAGCGGGCATATCAGTAAAATAAAACCAAACCTTTGATGAATTGACGTGCTTCCTCTTTGTTGGAAGGTTTTTCCCTGATCATACCTTCATAGACCACCACCTCGAAGAGCATTTGGATTTATCAGCAAGTTAAAAGGAAAAAAATTCATCTCAAGAACAATATAACGACAAGAAACACTTGTCGAAAGAGAAAAAGATCCATTACAAAATTGTCTACAGGTATGCCCATCATGAGAAAACCAAGACATGAGGATTTGACTATCATGAGCACCAGTATTGTATGGACTCCCAAGGCATCCCTCTATAGGAAATTTACATTACATATTTCTTTCTTATTTGAAGGAGTTCCAACAAAGAAGGTAGAAACAAAAAAATTCTAAAGGGTTTGATATGTACTATAGTACACCTAAATCAGGTCACATTCCATCTTTTAAATCATTATAGAAAGACGATTAAAAAAATTCCGTCAGAGCAAGGATATCATTTTTCTACAATTTTCAATTTCCTTTCTTCAATTTTTAGTTTATTGCAACAAATAACCTCATTAAACATATAATTTTACAAGGCTCTTAGAGCATATACAAGAGACTATTTATAAAGAGCATTTTATGTATAATTTAAAATATTTTTTTATATGTCAATAGTCAATCAATTCAAATAAGATTAAAATAATTTAAAAAGTGGAGTATTGAAATCTATAACTAATTAAATGCAATATTTATAAAGTAAGAATAGAGAGTGGGTTAGGCTTTTCAAATTTGGATAGTCAAATTCAAATTCACTCTCTACTTCAAAAAGTTAAAATAGAGAGTCTTTTGAAACTTATTTTAAAGCATTGACTCTCTAACTCTTAGATGGCCTGTTAACAAATCTCTAGTACCAAGAACAACCTTATCCAAGCAATTATCCAAGCAAACACAGTAAATTATGCATATACTCCAAAAATAGATATTCTATAAAAAATATTCCTCGTGTTTATCTAGTAAACAAACTAGATCACAAATTTGTTTTACATATGCTCTTGGTCTCAGTAAAATTATCCAATATCTTCCTCTCTCAACTTGAGTAGGTATAAAATAGTTGCTAAGCTTCCCGACCCGAGAACTGTAAAGAGCTTTCAGACTTTCATCTTCCCGAGCTTTTCGAAGCAAATTCTCAAGCCAACTAAACAACCCCTTGCTGTTACTAGCATAATCCATTCAAAATCTAATACATACAATAAGAATTATTATTTTTTTAAATTTAATTTAATTTATTTTTTTAAGTCCAGAAAACAATTTCTTTATGCTCATAAAGGAGAGCTAAAGCTCAATCTCAATAAGTGATCTTCCTACTAAGCCAATGCATTTCCTCATGACACAACAATACCATTCTCTCTTGTACTGTCTTCCTAAGCATAAACAGTGCATTATAACCATTTGATTCTTATAGCACCAAAATTTGTTTTGAGAATTGAACAGAGCTACCTATTTTTGTTCGACACAATAGGGGCAGCGGTACCCTTCCCCCTACAGTAATTCAACCAGTAAAATACATTTAATTTCATGACTTTTACTTCATTATAATTATAAAAAGCACAGACAATTTACACAAAAGACATGCAATGTCTAAACTAGAACAGCTGTATCAGTGGAAGTGTGTTATACTTGATCACAAGTAATTAGAACTGTAGGCTCAGCATCTTCTTTGTATTCACCAACACGAAGCTTTGGAATGATAGCTTCAGCCTAGTGCAAAATTCCATCAGTTTGAGATAAGAGCCCAGCAGGACTGATAATATGAATGATGAAACTAAGTAAAGCAATTGCAATCCACAATCAATTCCATAAAGCATATAAAAATCTATGTGGGCAACAATCAGACATCAAAGAAAGGGATATTGAGATTTGCAAGTCAGCTTTCTCTGCTTTAAAATTATCGATTTCTTAAATGCACAAAAAACACGAAAGAGAAACATATGTTCTCTGGCTTACTCTTTTGATAATAATTTCTTGTTATATACAGCCATTGAGTTACTCAAAGGATCTCAATAACATATTCAATGATAGATGGCACCATGGCTAGGTAGACACGTGATGCACATTTTATTGGGTAGGAGGCCACAATAAAAAGGGGAAATAAAACACATACTGTGTCAGCTGCAACTAAAACCGTAGGTTTGCCATCATTCTCTTGATTTTCAATATTTTGAAGTTTTGATGCAATGGCATCTGCCTGAAACACAATGCAAGTTTAGCTAAATAAACAAAAGAAATGTAAACATGTTTACAAAAATTATAGAAGTTTTTATGCTTAGCCAAACATGCTAAAAGCGTAAACAATGCACATAAGAACTTCAGAATCGTTACGAGATTATATCAACACGTGCAAATGGGTGTAAAATAAGGCAAAAATGGCGCAATGCTTTGAAACACATGCTTTTTTGGAAAAAGGGAAAGTAAAAAAAAATTATTGAGGCCAAATATTAAAGCAAAAAAATATTTATAACAATAGTTCATGCTACATTTGCAACAAGAAATTGTGCTCTTGGTAGGAAAAGATTCAAATTTTAATTTACGCAACCGAAGAGCGCACCTTCGCCTCTGCAAGAGCCATAACCGAATCTTCGGGCTTTTCTTTTCGAATGGCTTTCTCATCAATATCCGCCGACTACATTATCACTCATAAAAATAATCAAATTTGAAGACTTAACTAACGAAACCCAATTATTTATCTCTACATTGCAGGAAATAATTTAAGAAAAGTTAACATTACCATGGTGGTGAACTCATAACCCATTTCAGATAAAATCATTTTACGGGCAATAGAAGACGAACCCAAGATTATCTGGAAAAAATAAAACAATAAATTTTTTGAGCCAAAATGCTTAATCCCAAACTTAATTATTAGGAAATAGAAAACAAAACAACGGTAACCAAACTAACCTTGAATTGATTAGAATCTTCTGAATCCATCTTTCTATGGAGAAATCGTTAAACGAGTTAGCTAAATACCCTAATGCCTAAATTGAGCTTCTCGTAGTGTGTTAGGGGGATTAGAATCAGCAAAGAGGCGAGAGTAAAAATTACATGTTTGTCTCAGCTAGTAAAATTATGAATAATGCTAGTGGGACACACGGCACCTCGGTATCGGTCGAGGTGTCGGTGGGTTCATGTGTGGCAGGCACCTTGGCTGCCTTAGGTCCATTTTCAACACCATGTTGGATATTGGTGTACACAAGCATAACCCTAAAATTAGTAATTAGTTATTTTTGACCTTTTCTTTTTAAGTGGAAATGAGGAACTTTTAGTTGCATTTTTACTTTTCAGTAAATTGAAAATGTGTTCAAAAGCTTTTTTTTTTTTTTTCTAAATAACTTTTGACTTTTCAAAAGTCGTAACAAACGAACCCTTAATCAATCTCATAATTCAAGTTATTAGTATACTTTTTCGTTTCTTATCTTAACATGTTAGATCTAACACAATTTAAGAGTTCACCTTGAAATCCACAATTAAAATAAAGTGGACAGTAACATATTCCTAGTTAACATGTAGTTTGACAAAAAAAATAATAATAATAAATTATAAGTTCTAGTAGATTTTAATAAAAAATTGAAATGTGTGATTAAAAAATTGATAAAATTGTTAATCTTATAAAATATATGAAGGATGCTCCACGTACAGGGGCCTGATTCCCTGCCATGCAACACACATAGGGCGGGGATCCCACAATTTTTTTCTAATCAATATGGGACCCGCCTCGATATAGTGAGGGGCCTGTGAGGCCGAGCTGCCCTGTACGCAGTGGTGAATCCAAGATGTTGAGTCAGCACGGGCGGTCGTTGACCGTGGATCGTCGATCGCCATAAAATATTAAAAGCTCGTTTGATGTCCCCTTTTTTTTTTGTTGCAAGAAATACATTTTGGAATAGTGATTTAATGGAAAATGTGTAGTTAAAAATAAAAAAAAAATTTGAATTTGTGTGTAATATTATTTTATTAGCGAATGTTTGATCGAAAATAAAAGTAAGAAAAATGTATTATGAAATAAATGGAAATCAAACAAAGCTTAAATTTTAAATAAAATAATTATTTTGCTGAAGTTGAACATATATAATTCTATTATATAAATAAATCGTACTCATCAAATGACATTGTTGCTTTGCATAATTCAAAGGATAAGCATGGCTTCGATTTTTTCCATTTGCATCAAAATCCCTAAAATCTTACATATATTGTTTTGTTAAATTTAATAGCACAAAGTGGCAGTTGTCATAGTGGTCCAGCATTCAACATTTTCAAGGGTAACCCAAGGTTTGAATCTTCTCTGGTGCAATCCTTATTACAAGATTTTTTGGTAAAATTGTATAGCTAAATATGTCATACAATAAATTGAGTGGCAAAAGATTCGAACCCGAGACTCCCAAAATAACCATCCAAGCGGTAACCAACTCGGCCAGAAGGAAAGGAATGAACAATAATGAATTACCAGAGATATATTCTAAATCTTTATCTATTCTCAAACAAAAAAAAATTGGGCTCCCGACGAATCCAACATGCGCGGCCGCGGGGGCTCGCCAGGTGCTGGATCCTCCAGTGCCTGTACGTACAGCTTTATTCAAAATATATGGTTAAAATTGAAATTTGATTACCCGAAAAGTCAATTAAGTTTTATCTAATAAGTTGTGTAATAATACAATTGAAGATCCCAAGTCAAACATTAAAGTCCATCACATGCTTCATGTGGACTATTTCAATGTACCAAAATGAAGCTTCATATGTCACTATTATCTTTTATTATTTTATTATATGGCAAAGAAATAATTATGTTCAATTATAGATGCATCTAGAATAATCAAATTCTATAAAATGTTCATATTTTACAAGATGTGTCGTGAGCACTAAGATTTTTTCAAACTTTTATATCTATTAGATATATTATGAAGAGTTTTTGAAGTTGACTTGATAATAATACAGTCTTATCGACGTCACCGTTATACTTTCATATGAAAGGAGTCGAATACTATTTGTGCTATTGTTGACCCGTACCAGTTAATTTTGAATTGTTTTATATAGGGCCGAAGCAAATTCACCAAAGCCTTCGAATTATATAAATTGATATCAACATATCAATTACTAATTTTATATTCACATCAATAGTAGGTTTAATTTCAAATAACCATACATGTCCATTTTTGTCACGCGACATTCCTTTGAAAGATTTTCATAAGAAGAAATTCATATAATTAACATATTCATCAATTAATAAAAACTACCAATGAAAAATAATACCAATCAAAATCATATTTGTACGTTATTTCCTTAGTAGTTCCCAACATATTTGTCACACCTGTGCACGTTACATCCACCCAGTGGTTATAGAACTTGAAGGGCTTCGAGCCTTGGGTAATGGTTTGTCGAGGTTGATAATAATAGGAGGGTGGTCAAAGATGTCTTATGTTGGGAACAATTTAGAGAAATTTCTTGCATGAGTTCGTTGGATGTTACAATAGGCTTGTATGCATTCTTCCACGAGCCCAGTCACCTTGTCTGTCTATCCATGTAGAATGGAATAAGGGAAGACCATATAATTCATAGTTTTAAAGATCACATTTCATAAATAACAAACTCAATTAAATATTTCAAAAATCAGGTGGTAAATAAATTTATTAAATATTAAATTATAATATAATATCCATTAATTATTTCCGCCATGCCATCCACCTCATCCTATCATCCCATACACCACCTTTCCTCAACCCTTCCACCAGAGATGGCTATCATCTCCGGTGACCACTTTGGCCACAGCTCCGCCAACTGTTCCGACGATCACTCTGGTGGCTGCTCCGGAAACTATTTCGACGATCACCCCAGCAAATTGCTCCGACGACCACTCCAGCAAGCTGCTCTAATGACCACTCCAGCACCTACTCTGGTAACTATTACAGGCACTGCTTCGACTCGTTAATAGAAAAAACTCCAAATTTTGAAAACAATTTCTCTCTCTACACCCCACTGTTGAAAAATCTCAAAAAAAAAAAAAAAACTATGGTGATCATAATAGTGCATTGCAAGTGATCAGATTTGCACCTGTGACGTCTGTAACCATACCTGTGTCATATGTGACTAGTTGTCACCAAATTTGTATTTAGCGTGTCTGTCTGTGACTATGCCAATCTCAAGTCACAACTGGTCACAATCAATACAAAATTGATTACAATCAATACAAATTTGGTCACAAATAGTCACAACAAACACATACTTGGTCGTATAGGGTTACCATAAACAAATCTGCACACACCGCATAAATGTGATTAACTGTGACCAACTTTGCCAGTATGATTAACTGTAATCAAAATTATATTCAGAGTGACCGTCTGTGACGAGATCAATATCATGTCACAACCCACCATCACCACTAAAGAACAACAAATCAGAAAATCATCGCACCCCCAATACCACCATGAGCACTACTGCATCTATTCCACTGTCTCCCACAATTACCACCACCACAACACCCGAAAAATCGCCACAGCACCGCTGCACAAAGCACTCATAGCACACCACCACCATGAGAAGAATTCAGCTTCCAGATACTCTAAATTTAAAGGGAATTCCAATAGATCAACGTCGGATTTTGGTAATTTTATGCATTCCTCAAAAACACTGCTTGTACCACCTCAAAACCATCGCAAAATCAACTAAAAACCACCAAAACCATCTAAAAAACCACCACAAACTATCGCTGCTCCGGCGATGAGAACGGTCAAATCGTTTTTCGACGAAGTAAATAGGATAAATAAGTGAAGAAATCTCCGATGAGAAGGCTCGAGTCATCACCAGTCTTCACCATTGCTTCTGCAAGCAGCGGCAAGTGGTGTTGCAAGAGAAGCCATGACCGGTGTGTTGCTTCTTTGGTCGTAGTGGTCGGTGAACTTTGTGGCGCCGACAAAGGAGAGGGTTAGGTGGCTGATGGGAGGGAGAGAGAGAGATGGTTAGGGTTACTTACAATTTGGGAATGAATTGAAATGGGGGTGGAGTCACTGGAGTGCGTAGGTGGTATATGTAGATTAGGTTTTATTAAATTCTTATTAATTGTAATTATTAAAATCTAATTACCAGCTGAATTTTTAAATTAAAATTAACCTTCTCAATTTTTGAAAATTAGTCTTTAAAGGTTGGTTTCTAGGTAATTTTTCCATGGAATAATGTTGTGCGAAAGCCCAATATGGTATTTTTCTTAATAAATAGGAAGATTCCAATACACTTTTGATATTTCATCAAAATTACACCTTGGTGTCTTTCATTTGTAAAGATATGTGCATCGACGTGTCTAAAATGTATTGCATAACAATAAATTGAGCTCGTCTCGATAGAACTTCTTATGTGTTACAATAAATTTGAGCTCGTCTTATGGAAATTCTTATGTGTTACTCACCCTCCCGTCACGACACTTTATATATCGACGAATAAGAATACTTGCCAACTAAATAGAGGTTCTCACATCATTAAGAAACATGGCATCTCCCTCGTACACTAAAATCGTATATTGATATATTCCCTCAAAAAGTCAAATTCCCTTTCACTATTTGAAAAGCCTCACAAAAAAATATTTTCCTGATTTCAAAAGCAGTACCAGTATAACTTTAGACATAGTGCAACTCGACGCGCCGCCATGGAGGGAGGAGGAAGTGCCGGAGATGCCCAAGAAAATGGCAGTGCCACCGTCGGCGTCCAGATTAACCACAGCCGTAGGCTCCCGGACTTCCTCCTTAGCGTCAACTTGAAGTATGTGAAACTTGGGTACCATTACTTGATCTCTAATTTGTTAACTCTTTGCTTGGTACCCATAATGATTATCATTTTAATTGAGGCATCCCAAATGAATCCTGACGATATTCGTCAATTGTGGCTCCATTTGCAATATAATCTTGTATCGGTTATTATATGTTCTGCATTTCTTGTATTTGGATCCACTGTTTATATTATGACCCGGCCTCGACCTGTTTATCTTGTCGATTATTCGTGTTATCGAGCGCCGGAGAACTTGAAGGCCCCGTTTAATCGATTCATGGAACATTCCCGGTTGACTGGGGATTTTGATGAGTCCTCTCTCGAGTTCCAGAGGAAAATACTCGAGCGGTCAGGGCTCGGGGACGAGACATATGTACCCGAGGCGATGCATTCAGTTCCACCACGGCCGTCAATGCAGGCTGCGAGGGAGGAAG